ATTTATGGCTTGTTTCATACTGAAATAAATTTCTTTCCTGCTGGGCCCACTTTGCTCCCAGCAAGTTTGATTCAAAGTGATGTGATACCAGAAGCTTAGCTCTGGGGGCACCATGCTGCAGGGCATGGGGATTTCTGTAGGCAGCACTGTGCTGCAGGCGTGGGTAGTTTGATTCGGTGGGAGGGGGTGGTAGCAGCTGGTGCAAGTGCCTCTGTGGTGCCAGGGAGCACTGTGCTGTGGGAAATAAAGGGATTCAGTACAGGGGGTGCCAGGCCACAGAGAAGGGGTGCAGGGGCTCAGCAGTCAGTACTGACCCCCTGTCCTAGCCCTTAGGGGTGCTACAGGGCCTGAAGGCACTGACCCAAAGCCTCAGGGTTCAAGGGTAGCAGCATGAAGGGCCTCCATCCCAGCTGTGAGTGCTGACCCAAGTGCCCCAGAGCTAGGGGGTACCATGGGGTGGGAGTGGGGGTGCTCAACTGGGGGAGGCTTCCTGAGCCATCGGCACTGACCTTGCTGATTTGGCAGCACCTTTGGAACCGCGCCCCGCCCCTCCCAGCACTGCCCAGCCCTGGTGTCTATGGGCACCCTGAGGCTGCCGCTGGGACACGGACCACAGTGGAGCACAGAGGCCACTGGGGCTGCTTCAGGGGTAGGAGCCCACATGCTCCCCCCACCCCTTCCAGCCAGACCCTGGGATGCCCTCTCCACCCCCACTTTCATGGGAGCACCTGCCTAGGCCTTCCCTCCCCCACAGCCCTCCAACACCAGGGCCCCCCTTATCAGCAGCCACTCCCCTCCCTTCCCCCTGCCAGCTGGGCAGTCCACCAGTCCTATTTAAACCCAGCAGCCTCCATGCTTGCCTAGAGCCTGCAGAGACCACCCCCCACCCTGCTTCTTCCAGCCCCACTGTGCCGGGAACTCTCAAGGTAAGAGAGGAGGGCAAGGAGTGATGGGGAACCTAGGGGGATGGCTGGGTCCTGGCCAGGCAGGGGGAATCCTTCTCCCCATATTCACAGCTTTTAGGCCCACAGATCTTTCCTCTCTGGCCTTTACCATCCCCAGATACTTTAACCCCTTAATAAATATTCTGTCACCTTCAGTACCCCAAAAACTAGCCCCCAACAAACCACAGCTGATCCCAAAGGGACCCAAACTGGCAGTCCACCCCAAGAGACAGGGAAACATGACTTTAAAGAGACCCTCTTTGTGCCCCACTCCAGGGATTGCCACAACCCAGTGCCAGGTGAGGTGTGCCTGTATAACCAGCCCCCAAGATACCCCACCCAGAAGCAGCATGTGTGAGAGGTCCCTGTATAACCAGTGTCTTCCCCACCTCCATTCACGCACCTCACTCAGGAGGCATCTGCATCAGCACTGGGACAATGGGTTCCTACAATGGATGAACCTGAATCCATCCCCCAGCCCCTTCAACTTAAACCCTATACACTTCCCCCACCCCCAAACCCCACCCCATCTGGATGTGACTAGAGCAGCTCTGACCGGCTGGGCCACAGCCTCATGGGGCTAGAGAAGGGGGAGACTACAACCACCTCACCATCTGGTGGGTCCTCTGTGTACTCCCCCCCGCCAACCCTGCAACTGCCTGCCCAGAGCTTTATGCAAAGAAAATGCCCCCCCATCCCCTTGTGACTCTGACTCCATCTGGCAGCTGTGATAAGAGCTGTTATATTTAGCACCTTCCACTTACTGCCTTATCAGCCCTGAGCAACCACCCCAAATAGGGGCAAAGCCACAGGCCTGGGGAGATAAGGAAGTTGGTGAGAAGCCCATTCCCACCCAGGACCAGATTGGAGCTAGCACCCACTGGAAGGGAAAGGCCCCCTGCCCCTGCCTGTGTCCCTGCCCCTTACCCACCCCCTAAGCCAGCCCTGGGGCCAGATTGGGGTCAGCACTCCTTGTAGGGCACAATGAAATAATTTTTCCCATTTTCCCCCCCAGCTCTTGGTATTGACACAACCTACTCAGCATGGCAGAAGAGTAAGTGATTGGTTTAATGCCCAGCTCTGGGAGGGGAGTGGGGTCTCAGGAGTGGGGGTCTTGTGGAGCAACGGGGTGGCAGCCAAGATGCTTGGGTTCTACCCCAGTGCGGTTAGAGCAGGGGGCAGCCCTGGGAGGAGACTGGGGTCTAGTGGGTTAAAGCAGGGTGGAGACAGCTGGGACACCTGGGTTCTATTCCTGACTCACATGTGAGTCTTCTTGGGGAGAGCGTCTTTGCTTTTCCCTGTGCATCAGTTGCTCCAGTGGCTTGAAGTTGCAGCAAAGTAGGTTTAGACTGGATATCAGGAAAAACTTCTTCACTGGTAAAACAGGGAGGCAGTGGAACAGACTGCCTAGGGAAGCTGTGCACTCTCCATCACTGGAGATGTTCAAGAACAGCTTGGACAGGCACAGGTCAGGGATGATCTAGGCACAGCTCTGCCTATATTCTACTGTGGTACTTCCCAGGTTTCTCATTTTTGCTGGTTGCTGCATGGGGCTGGGAGGAAATCCTGCCCCCCTCCCTTGCTGCTACATGTATTAGGGTTTTGGGGGTGTTTTTAAGCTTTCCTCAGAGGCATTGGGTGTTGGCTGCAACCAAGGCTAGGGATTGGGATTGGGCTGTGCCAGTGGTTGTGCTTCCACCTGGAGGTTCCCGGCTGGAGGGTCTTGCTCCTCTGCTCAGGGTCAGACTGATTGTTGTATTGGGGTCAGGAAGGAATTTTACCCTGTGGCCAGACTGGCCTGGACTTTGGGGGAGTTTTGCCTGCCTCTGTCGCAGGGGGCACAGCTTCTACATGGGATCTCTTGAGTGTATATGAACAACCTTTTCCAGCAGCGATCCCCCTGCTTTACCTGTAGCAGGTTGGGGTGTGATGCCTTGTGTTGCGTCAGGGTTGACAGTAGCTTTGCTAAGGGGTTATTATAGATTTGTAGGGGATGGTTTGGATAGGGCTGATCCTGCCCCGGGCAGGGGCTTGGACTAGATGACCTCTGGAGGTCCTTTCCAGCCCTGACTTCTCTATGATTCTGATTCCTTCAGTACCCAGGCAGGGAGGGGGCTTCAAGCCATCCATCAGGCCTGCAAAGGGCTAGGGGACCCCCCCCCCAGTCTCAGACAGTGCCTGTGTCATTCAGGGGCTGGGTTTGTCACTGAACTAATTTTTTTCCCTCTCTCTCCCCCCTAACCTACCCCACAGGGAGGAAGTAACCGTAAGTATCAGCATGGGGGTGCATTCCCCTATAATCAGCCTTTATTACTGGGACAAAGTCAGCCACTCCATTGGATGGACTGGAAGGCAGAAATGCCCCCTAGAGGAGAGCAATCCCTGCCCCACCCCTGGCCCCAAGGCAGCCAGTGCCGTTCCCTGAGGCTAGATTAGGGCCCCTGCCCCATCCAGCCAGTCCCCTACTACAACCATCTAATTTTGCCAACTCTGTTTGAATCTATTCTGGGAGGTTTCCAGAACACCAACATGCCCGCGTGCCTGCATATATCACTTATACGGTGCACAGACTTTATGTCAGGAAGGCAAATGCACATTACTACAGTATTGCATTTAAAAAATCCACTGGACTCCTGTATAAATCAAATTCAACATTTAATATTCATTTTAATGAATGCCCTATCATTTATCTCCTGGGTGACTCTCAGCTGTCTCCTGAAGATTTATATCTAATTCCTGGAGACTTCAGGGCAATCCTGGAGGGTTGGCAACCCTACAACCAACCCTTGAGAGAGTTCCCTGGGAAAGCATCCCTCACATTTTTTGTCCACCAGACAAATATCCTGACCTCTCATTTAGGAATTAAAGGGAACTGGATGCTGGAAGCCCCCCCCCCCCCTTCTTAAAGGTGATGGCATGGGTTGGCCTTGGAGCTCACATGTCATTGATTTCTCTCCTCAGTACGAGGAGGAGGAGGAAGAGGAGTATGTGGAGGAAGAGGAAGAAGCAGCCCAGGAGGCCGAAGAGCCTGAGCCGGAGTCCCAGCCAGAGCCACCCAAACCCACACTCCCTCCCCCACCACCAGCCACCGTCCCACCCCTCCGGAGAAAGTCATCCGCCAATTACCGAGCCTATGCCATTGAGCCGCACATTAAGGTTGGGGTATCAATAAAGTTCTCCCTCCTTGAGAGGGTCCTTGTCAGCTATGCTCAGGTGCCAATAAAGTTGAACCCATCTGGAAAGGTCTCTGTCAGCCACACCAGTGCATCAATAAAGTTATCCCCAGTTGACAGGGTCCTTGACAGCAACCAATATCTTTGCTCCATTTGAAAGGGAACCTGGCCCAGGTATCCATAAAGATCTTCCCACTCCAAAGGGTCCTGGTCAACCTCAGGTGTATCAACACTGCAGAGTACTGATAAAATAGAAAAGAGCTCCTAGGGTGTCAGCCTAGTTAGAGCAGGGTGGAGACAGCCAGGACACCTGGGTCTATCCCTGACTCACGTGTGACTCTTCTTGGGGAGGGTGTCCTTGCTTTTCTCCATGCCTCAGTTTCTCCAGTGGCTTGAAGTTGCAGTGAAGTGGGTTTAGATTGGATATCAGGAAAAACTTCACTGATAGAACAAGTGAGGCAGTGAAACAGACTGCCTAGGGAAAATATGGACTCTCCATCGCTGGAGGGCTCAAGAAGAGCTTGGACAGGCAGCTGGCCGGGGATGATCTAGGTATAGCTCTGCTTGTGTTCTGCTGTGGGTATTTGCCCGGCTTCTGAGCTTTGCTGGTTGCTGCATGGGGCTGGGAGAGAATTCGCCACCCTCTCCCCTTTTCTGTTACACCTGTCACTGTGTTTTTTAAGTCTTCCTCAGAGGCATTGAGTGTTGGCTGCAGCCAATGCTAGGGATTGGGATTGGGCTGTGCCAGTGCTCCTACTGGGACTTAAACCTGGGGGTTCCTGTCTAGGGGGTCTTGTCCCTCCATTCAGGGTTAGACCCGTCACCATAGTTGGGGTCAGAAAGGAATTTTACCCCATGGTCAGAATGGTGTAGATTGTGGGGGGTTTGCCTTCCTCTCTAGTGGAGGCAGGGCCCTCCTTTTCAGATCTCTTGAGTGTATTTAACAACCTGGCAGCAGCAGGACACCACCAGCCCTTGTCCCCTGCTTCACCTGGGGCAGGGGTAGGGGCTCTGGGGTCCTCAGGCATTAGCCTCATAGCTGTGCAACAGCACTGCAGTACACTGTGTTAGGAGTAGGTTGGATCAGTACTTGAATGGGGTTGATCCTGCCTCAGGCTGGGAGTCAGACTAGATGTGACCTCCAGAGGGCCCTGCCAGCCCCACAGCTGTATGCTTCTATCTGATACTGGGATATTGATAAAGTTCACCATGACAACAACTGGGCTAAAATCACCTTCCTCCAGTGTCCTGGCTAACATGGGCAGTGGCTTGTGGCTCAGGTCCAGGCCAAGAAGCCAGGTTCAGTTTCCCAGCTCTGTTAGATCATTGGAATCATTGTATTGCTCTGGGCCTCCATTTACCCATCTGGAAAATGGGTTCAAAGCTGTCTCTCTTTCCTTTCCAGGTCATGAGATTTTTGATGGAGGGTGGACACAACCTGTCCTAGAGGGGTAGTGCACAGTTCAGCTGAGGGTCAGGCTCCTGTTTAGAAGCGTAGGGAAGGAGAAGGGATGGGGTCTTGGCAGTTTCCACTCCCCTCCTCTGGGAGGTTGCCCTGATTTGGGTCTCTGCCTCTGCTAATGTCATTGTCCTTGTCTTAACACAGAGAAAACCCAAGATAACTGCCTCTCGCAAACTGCAGCTCAAGGTAACCAGGCAGTGGGGAAGGGGGCAGTGACTGGGCTGGCTGGGCCTGTAGGGCTGATCTGAAGTGGGCAAGGAGGGTACAGGGCTGGTTGGGTGCATGGGCCCCCCCTGATTTAAGGAGATGGCATGGGGGTGGAGATGGCTGAGCTTGTGGCGCTGCTGGGGGTGGGTATGGGACTAGTTGGGCCTGGGGTCTGAACCTCCTCCCCCCCATTCTCCCCCTAGACGCTTATGCTCCAGGTGGCAAAGCAGGATCTGGAGCAGGAGGAGGGGGAGCGGGCCCAGGAGAAGGAGCGGTTCCTCTCTGAGCATTGCCCCACCCTCGCCCTGGCTGGGCTGTCCCTGGCAGAGCTGCAGGTATGGCTTCCC